CAAAAATTGAAAATGTAAGCTAAGATTTGTGACACACATATTTCAAATGACTCAGCTAGAAATAATTGATCAGAATTCAATGTACCAAAGTCACGTCAGACAAGTATAGACCAAAAAACTGTCACAGAGTAGAGGAGACTAACAAGACAACAATGAAGGACAATGTGGGATCCAGGGTGAGCTTTATCATTTTTGAGTTTATTTCATAACATTCAATAAGTGCCTACTAAGTGCTAGACCTAGTGCTATACCTCATAAAGCAAGAACGATTGAGACAAGATCTCTGTCTTATCGGAGAAACAAGGCATTTAACTGGCATGAGCTGAAACTCCAGAAATGCATGTTCAATATGATGGAGGATATGCGTCCTTCCACATCCTATTCCGAAGTGGTTTTTATAAATTATTTGTTACCTCTACAATTCTAGAAATGTTTATTGCAGTAGTGTCTGGTCTACATTGTTTATTTTCAACAGGGAAATATTTTTTTTTTTTCAAATCACTATATTTCTGTAAGTGTGTTGTCAAAATGCTGATTCATTCACTCAAGCATAAAATTTACTGTGGATTGCCTTAGGAGCCTGCGTATTTTCTAAATTCCATGTCTTAAATCAACATGTGAAGATTTCAGATGCACAGTTCCTGTGATTTAGGAAATTCAGAGTAAAAAACTCCATGTTAAAGTTTTGATAACATCACAAAAAGAAGGAGGGAGAGAAGAATGAGGAAGAGGAAAAGGATAGGAAGAGAAGAGGAAATAAAGGCAAGCAGGTTGGCTCACAACACATGAAGGCAAAGTTTGGACAAAGACTCAAAAGCCATGAGAACATTTATGGGTACATTTAGAGCTTTAGATTTTTGTAAGATTAGAATTTGAAGCTTTATTATTTCCTCTGATCCTCCTAGAAAATTTGTCTACAATAAAATTAAACTTATATCATCTTATGATGGAATCACCAAGATAGAGTGTTTAAGTTTTGGCTTTTTTGTAGGTGTGATTTAACCCAGCAGTCTCCAAACTTTTTGGTGTCAGGGACCGGTTTCGTGGAAGACAATTTTTCCATTCACCACAGTGGGGATTGTGAGTGGGTAGGGTAGAGAAGTGGTTTTGGGATGATTCTTGTGCGTTACATTTATCTTGCACTTTATTTCTATTAATATTACATTGCAATATATAATGAAATAATTATACAACTCACCATAATGTAGAATCAGTGGGAGCCCTGAGCTTGTTTTTGAAACTAGACGGTCCCATATGGGGGTGATAGGAGACAGCGACAGATCCTCAGGCATTACGGTCCCTAAGGAGCACACAACCTAGATCCTCCGCATGCAAAGTTCACAATAGGACTCGCACTCCTATGAAAATTGAATGCCACTGCTGATCTGACAGAAGGCAGAGCTTTGGGAGTAATGCAAGCAATGGAGAGCAGCTGTAAATACAGTCACTTGCTTACCTGCCGCTCACCTCCAGCGGTACGACCCAGTTCCTAATGGGCCACGAACTTGTACTGGTCTGTGGCCTGGGGGCGGGGGACTCTTGATTTAACTGAGTTATTAATATTGTGGTGTATTCTCTTTTCAAAATAACCAGAATATAAATCTTTATTAACATTGGTAATTTAGAAAAATATAGAGAGAAATCTGTGAAAGAAAATAAAATATCTAAAAGACTCAATTGGGTACTTTTCTTATATTCCTTGAGAGCAAATTATCTATTATTTTAAACATTTTTGTCATTTATAACTGCAAAAAGAAAACTTATGATTTTTTCATTTAACTAGTTACTCTCATGTTTAGTACATGTCTATTGCTTTATGAGCTCAGCATCCACTCTGTATTGTTTGGCTGTAGCATTTCAATCTTCATTTGCAACCCATACCTCCTTCAGTCCATTTGGATGTGGCTGGTCCTATAAACTTGGCTGTAAAGTCCCCTCCCCCCCAAAAAATAATCTATTCTTATCAAGTTATGTGTATCTGGCTTTGCTGCCCTTTAATCCTGTGATTTAAGCTATTTGCAAGAGACTGCTGAAGACTTTCTGGTCTAAAATCCCATGTTGTTGTTGATTTTTCCCACCAAAAGTGAATCATATTCATATCCTATTGCCCAGGGTGACGATATTCTCTTTTCAACAATTTTGTTATTTTATCACCAGATATTTAAGAAACAGAAATTTGCATACAATGGTTTTCTTGGCAACTAGGGAAGCTTATATTTTCTGCTTTTAGATATTTACTTTCCCAACATGGGTTTTGCCACAATTTCAAGCTCATGTTACAGAATACTTTCTTAAACAATATTCAGACAGAACACAATGTTATAAATAAAGATTTAATGTACTACCCTATCGTGGCAAGATAAGATTCAACAGGATATAAAAAATCTAAGAATATGTATAGATCTCTTTTATAAATAATCCTGTCCAAAGGGCTGGATAAAGGGATAGTTGAAATACTTCATCACATATCAATAATTATGCCTCATAAACTCAGTCAAAAGTCAGATTTAGTAATGGGAGAGACACTTTGAAAAGATGACAGCTGGACATGCACTTTTGGTGGCAGTACTTTCTGTAGGCATATTCGGTATAATCTTTAAGTGTTAGAATTTGAACCATAATTTGTCTCAGAATTTGGACTTTTGAGTTTCACAATAAGCACAATAATTCAGAAGTTTCTACAGTATTGCACAATTTCAGACATGTGAAAAACATGGGAAAGTAATCACATACTCTCCATGTGATTTCGGTAACCCATATAAAATATTTGAAAACAGTGTGCAGCTCACGTAGGAGACCACCAGGCAGGCTTTGTGTGGGCAATGAGGCCGTTTTATTTTGCACTTGGGTGCAAGCGGGCCAAGTCAGAAAAAGGAGTTAGGCAAGGGGAGTAGAAAAGGGGACTGGTTAGGCAGATTGGGGCAAATGTTCAGTTCAAGGGGATAATCTATTTTAGGGAGGGGAAGGGTGTCACTGGATGCATGGTCACAAGGGTAGGGGTCAACTATTACAAACAGGCATGATCATAGGGTGAGGGTTATTAGTTGCAAGCAGAGGTGAGGGTGACGGAAATTACATAGTTGCCGGGGCAGGGGTCTTGAGAAACCTAATGTCTGAGGGGAAAGTTTTTGCAAGTCTGAGCAGAACAATGATTGAAGGTTACAGGGGGATTACAATCAGTTGAGGCAGGAACTAGTGGTTTCACTTCTGTTTGTGGCCATCTGGTTACTTCAGACTTTCTGGCTCCTGGAGACCATCAGGAGGGTCACCAAGGCTATACAGGTATTGATCGACTTACGACCTATGCAACTTACAACCATTCGACTTTACGACCACAATCGCTAGCCACGACTGCTCCACGTTTGGCAGTGCAAACGTTGCCCAGCTGGGCGTACGACAGTGCAGACCAGCTTCTGGCAGCACTACCATCTCTGCGTGCACCATTTCAACTGTTATCCCAGACTCGGTACGTACATACTCAACTTACGACCAAATCGTGTTACGACCCGTCTGTTGGAACTGATCGTGGTCGTAAGTCGAGCACTAGCTGTAATGGCCAAGCTTGAACTTGGAGGCCTGACATTCCCATCTTCTTATATACATATAAAGAATAATGTTAGAGACAGGAGTAGGGGAGATGTTTCTCAAGGCTTCTTTAAATGTGACAGGGGGCTGCGTGGAAATCTAAAAGAAAAGTCTGTGATTTTTCGTAGTTTAGTAAGTGTTTGGTTAAGTCCTTGGCTTAGGGTGCCACTTTGTGTATTCAACAGGGTGCCAGTTTGCATATTTTTGATATTGAAATTGTCCTAATAGGATGAATTTTCTAAAAACAGCCTTTAAACATAATAGCTTTAATGCGGGTGGTGATGAAGTCTTGGGCCAAGGTTGGAGGGGAGTGGTCCCAGAAGACTTGGATTGAAAGGGATATGTATGGGTTCCAGAGAGGTGTCACGCTGCATCTCGACATTAGCCTGGCATTGCTTGGAATTCATGGTGCTTCTGGTTGATTCTAGAAGGGTGAAGGCTATGGAACAGGACTGGGGATGAGACAGGATGAATGGGGAGGGTTGGCAAGGTGTCTTGTCTTAGCCTTGGTGACCCTCACTGAGTGGCTGAGATTACAGGCATGTACCACCACACCTGGATAATTTTTGTATTCTTTATTAGAGACAGGGTTTCACCAGTGTCTAAATGTTGGCTCCCATATGATTTGCTGCCTAACTTTATGAAAATATTTTAACTTCTCTGATTCATTCTATTTAATAAGTATTAGAGGATACTGTACTTGATACTCAAGCTGCCTCAATGTATTTGAGAATTGAGTTAGTCTATATAAAATCCTATTCAAATGTTGTGTGAATATATAGCTTATTAAAGAGATATTTAAAAGTTTTAAATTCTTAAAGATTAAACGGTCTTAAATCCGTAACTTTTTTTTCTCTTATAAACCCTTGATTCAATTTCTCAGGCCATCCTTTTTGTCACTCCCTTTTAATCTACCAGCTTTGATGTATATAGCAATTTACTGTCACCCATTAATAATCTTATGAGTTTTATTTTTTACTTTTGCTGTTTTATTGATACTGTTATGCCCTTTGCCTTAATTTACACTAAAGGAAAGCAGGATGGGAGTATTGCACTATTAACTCAAAATTATTCACATTTAAACAAAAGGCAAAAAGCTAAATACGGTCTGTTGGGCTGTCGGCCACCTGGGGGATTTGAAGCAAACTCAGATCTTATATTGCAACGTCTTTTTAGAGTTTTTCCTTCAACATGTGCTTCTAATTAGCAGTAATATTTGGAGTGGGGGCAGGGGACAAAGAGTACACACAGGTTATGTTCTCAGTTGTTAAGTTACTTCGTTTAAATTCTATGCAGTAAGCTGTAGCAGTGTCCCTGGAAACTACTTGTTAGTTGGTTTAATATTTCCTACCAGTTATTTTATTCAACTGCAAGCATTGTCTCTACTTCTGCATTATTTGGCTTCCCATCTTTCCATATTCAGAATGAAATTTTCTTCTAAAAGTCCCAGTTGCCAACACCATCTCCTTCCCACTTCTGTTATTCTCTAAAATGAAGTCACAGTTTGTCTCTTTTTTTTAGTAACCACACGACTCTTCCTTTTCTTTCAAACTTTCTCATTTTTCAGTTAGACTCTAATTTCTCATTTAAGAATTTTGCTCTTAACTAATGATGCATTCCACACGTTTCTTTTTTTTTTTTTCTTTCTTTCTTTTTTTTTTGAGACAGAGTCTCGTTCCGTTGCCAGGCGCCAGGCTGGAGTGCAATGGCACAATCTCAGCTCACAGCAACTTCCACCTCCTGGGCTCAAGCAATTCTCCTGCCTCAGCCTCCCAAGTAGCTGGGAGCATTCCACACATTTCTTGTGTCTACAAAGAAACAGTAAGTCATACATATAGACTACATACTTGTGTGAATAAATACAAGAGTATTAAAAGCCCATCAAAAAGAAGTACAAGGGAGTGATCAAATTATTTTGCACTTTGGAATTTTGTGCAAATGACCATTCCATAACAATTAATAACATCTAAACTGGTATATCACTTTATAGTTGACAACCTTCATCCCACACATAGGATAATTTCATGCTTAACATAATCTTGTGAGATCATTCTTTTACATCTCCATTTTAAAAACAATTAACATTGAATCTTAAAGGAATTATGACTTGCTTAAGATTGTATGATGGCAAGACAGAAATTAAAACTTATAATCTAATGTCAAATCACATTCATTTCCACTTTTCTATTTCCTTCTCAATCTCACTCACTCAGTCCACCTTTGGCTTCAATTCAAAGGAAACAGAATTAGTTCCCCCAAGTTTCCTCTGTAGAATCTGACAAAGACCAAGGACATCCTTTGCTCTGCCCCTGAACGATGGATGCCCTCCTCCTCCACTGTGATGTAAACCAGGCAGCAGCCATGGCATGTCAGATACTTACAATGATTCATTTAACAACAAAGGCCTCCAAAGGCATGGAAAAATTGAATCATCATTCTTTAAGAAACTATATTGGCAATGATGGAAAGATTTTTAAAAATACATTTATGTAGTAATAGAATAAAATTTTCAACTAACACAAAAAAAGTATGATGGATTGGCAGATGCAGAAGCTCAAACAATAGTAATAATCTTTATGTCTGCAAATATTTTATGGCTTATTCTGGCCAATCACGTAGCCCATCTCATTTGACACGTAGGAGTGAAGGGAGTATCTGCCCATTTCATGTATAGAAACATTGTGGTTGGATAACTTGAGATCATACAGCTGGAAAGGAGAGCATTAAGGTGTATAATTTATGCCTTTTCAACTTAATTCTAGAATTTGGACACCATCGTCCCTAAAAGGAGAAGCAAATTATAAGTAAAAATATATAGTAATGATTCTTAACATCACTGGATCATTACTTTTAGAATCTAGTATAAGCTCTAGATTTCTCCCCAGAAAGATGTACCACATCCACACAATTTTATGGGCTTCATAGACCCCTAGGCTTCAAGAAAAATATGGACGCTAGGGAAGAATCACTGCTTTGGATAGAGTCTGCAGAAAAAAATAAGATACCGTGGCTCAGATTTTAGCAAACAGTTTGACTTCGTTACCTGTATCAATTCTTCTTCCTTGCTGTCAACACCTCAATCTGTCACATCTATTCACCTGATTAGCATGATTCAGTTTTCTTTATACAATTACTGATCAGTATGATTTTAAAGGTCATTTAAAATTACTGATACATATTAGTATTTGAGATATGAATGTTGATGATTATATGGTAAGACATTTCAATAAAGTCAATTTATAAACAATTTAACTAAGGATGTTGTGTCTAAAATATTTTTTGCATCTCTGTGTCACATATTGCAGACAGTCAATATTTGTTAAGTAAAAATAGTTTCTTTAAAATGAGACAACAGAATATTTCTATAGCAATGGAAGCATCACAAATGTGTTCATATAATAATATCGATAAGCCATTACCAACATTTATTTTTGTAATAAAGCCACTCTCCTAAGTTGAAACTTCTCCACTGATCTCAAAGATCTCCAAGATCTAATGACAAGCTAATCCACACTGGTGATGAAAACTATCTCTTTAGAAAATCAGCAAAAATAAAACTGAATTAGAAGTTCTAAATCCAAGAGAAAATTAGATCAAACTGCTTTTGATTCTCACTCATACTGTTTCACAAAATGCTCATCTACTGTCCCTAACAACACTGGAAGTCAAGAACTGTCAGGAGCCGAGACTGCACCACTGCACTCCAGCCTGGACGACAGAGGGAGACTATTCCAAAGAGAAAAAGAAAAATTCTGTCACAAACACGGAAACCTGACTGGCTGCAAGCTTCCTGGAGACTGTGAGTGAGCAATGTGATGAGATGAACAGCACTTTTGGCACTAGAACTGCCATGGCCTGTCAGCCGCCTGAGCATATGTTCTACCTCCAAACATCAGATACAGCCCTACACTATCTCAGTCACTCCAGGTGTCCTCCTAGATATCAACAAGAAAAACTAACTGCAGAATAATTTAAAAAAAAAAAAAGTGAAAACCCAAACAGGAGTAGGAAAAAAGTCACCTAAAATAAAAGCTGATGGCTTTTCATTTCCCTTTCTGCCTAAAGCTCCAGGGATGAAATAAGGAAACTGGCATTACAGCTAAAAGAAAGTTGGTCCTCTAGGATGCATTAATCACTAAAGCCAGAGATGGAAACGACTGCATAGACCATTTATTTCGTCCTCAAGACAAGCCAGAAATAGACCTTATAGTTTCCTTCCTGAAGTACATACAGAATTTATCATACACTGAATGAAACCATCTGCCACAATAATTCACATTTATGGACAAGATAGAGGTAAAAAGTTTTAAACAATAAACTGGAGTTAGAATGCTTCATGAAATCCTATTCTTACATTTTGTGTTTAAGAATTGAGCACTATAAGGAAGGAAAAGTTTCGGGGCCATATGGTTGTTGAGTTCTCCACTAATAGTAGCATCCCACAGAATCCCCCAAACATAACTACCAGCCATAGTTAAACAGCAGTTCATCTTTAAATGAAAGCACATATTCAGTTTTAATAAGAATGAGTCTGTACCTTGGTATAATGCTTAGCTTCTCAGTTTGCAAAATTTAATGCATCTAATTCTGATATGATAACTTCCTGAGATACAGTATGTTGTCTTTGCAGATGAGAAAACAGGTCCCAAAGATATTAAATTACGAGCTAAGAGTTTCATATATTATTAATGGCAAAACCATTGACACTTTTATTTAAAAACATGTTTTAAGCACATAGCACAGGCTAACAAGTACAACGATAACCAGGGTTATAAAGGTAGGGAAAACAAGCTTGCCTCCAGGCATTCAACATCTACCAAGGAGCATAAAGAAATACCATAAACTCTGAAGTAATATGGACTGTGATAAATCCCTCCAACTCCTTCCACAATGGCATAGGGACTCACAGGAGGGAGAAATCAATATGAGATTATTTCAGTTGATTTTCTACTAATCATAAGATCAGTACGGAGAAAATGGGATTTATTGATTCTTGTTTCCCCAGCGAGCCTAGAACACTCTGTAGGTGTTCAGAGTATTGATGGAAAGGAATGAGTAATGAATGCATTAAGCTTTCTGTTCCCTGTGTTTACTTTGTATGATATTCATTCCTAAAATGATCACTTTGCACTCTAAGAATAAGGAACGGAACAAAAATTCACAGGAATATGAAGAAATGAGAGCAGCGACTATAGTTGTATTAGATATTTCTTAAATAGATATTTATCCTTTCAATCCTCTTATAGGTAATTATTCAAGATGTGTGTCTTCATGTACTTAGTAATTGGCACCACACACACAAAAACCCTGTCTTATACTTGATCAAACTGATATCCAGGAGACCATCAGTTACAGAACAAATGCACATTTGGCTGCATAGATTTCAGGGGAGATTTGAAAAATCTGGGATGAAGATATTTGTAAAGCACTACCAGACATTTAAACAGTTTTTATTGGGTCTATAAAACATTGTGTGTTACTCATTTAGTGCATCAGCTTGGTGTGTACACAGGGGTTACCTGAGGTTTGTAAGGGAGAATGCCAACTAATGGTTACTGAATCCACCACCTGCAGAATAACTTTGGAAAATCGGCTTGTGCCACCAGAGTCAAGACTCAAGAACATCATCTTTTCATAAGACATGGAATGTGATCTAACTGGTCATCTAAGGGCACCAGATAGATGACTTAAAAAGTTCATATTCATCACCTAATGAAGGCAATGATTTTATGTTCACTACCACAAACATAGACAGTAGCGTTTTCCCAGGAATGATGAGAATACTGCTTGAAGTCATTTACATGTTTTGATTTGTTGGCTTCACACAAAGTATCCCTGACTTAAGACAAACTGCACTATTGCCTGTGGAAAGTTACTGGACTAGTAGATAGATTGGATACATTTCTTTTATTAATTCTATGCAAAAAATGAGCTGATTAAATGTAATCCATTCAACAAATATTTAATTTATGAGCATGACGTATCAGCTGCTACAAACCTAGTACACATAGTTCCAGTTAATTTCCATATGATGATGTGTGTGACCTTCAAGAAGGCACTAAAGGCCTGGTGCAGTGGTACACGGCTGTAAACACAGTACTTTGGGAAGCTGAGGCACACAGATCACTTGAGCTCAGGGGTTAAAGATCAACCTGGGCAACATGGTGAAATCCTGTGTCTACAAAAACAAAAACAAACAAACTAATGTACATCTATGTGTGTGTGTATATATATATATATATATATACACATATGTTAGCTAGCCATGGTGGCACACACATGTAGTCCCAGCTACACAGGAGGCTGAGGTAGGAGGGATCATTTGAGCCCAGGAGCCAAGATCGTGCCATTGTACTCCATCCTGGGCAACAAAGTGAGACCCCGTCAAAAACAAAACAAAAAAAGGCACTAAAATTTGTGTTTACATAAGTTCTTCATTTTTCATTTTCATATCCTGTTTCTTTTTAGCATATTAGGAGCACATTGTTGAAAGGAGGGTGGCAGTGAAGAGAAGAAAACTTTACTGCCTACTCAGCAAAATGTTTAAATTCTTAGTCCAATAAGGAGAGCCTGAGAGGTTCACAGCTGGCTCTGCTTACTGCAATTACAGAATGCAAACTAGTACTTCAGTCAGAGCCTGCTTAAAAGTTTCCATGCCTGACCTGCAAATGCTTAAGGAGAATAATAGCTACTTTACAACTGGAAAGGTCTCAAAGACTTAGATCAATAGCACAGCTGGTCTAGTCATTGTTGCCTCTCTACTAACATGTTAAAACCTAAATTGGCTAATTTCTCCCAATTACTTTTATATAGCTTTTTATGTTCCCAAGTACCAGGAGAGAGACACTCTGCTTTTCCATTTTTTACACAAGAACAATTTTTAAGTGACAAATGATGCTGTAAACAGAACTTAAAAATTCATGGTCATGGGAAGTTCAACTTTTAAAAATTTTTCAACATATAGAAAAGCAGATAAAGAGAGTGAAAAGAAAGTAGTCACTTAACCCAGTTTGTTTATTTTTCTTACCTAGTTTGTTTTCAGTTTAGAACATCATGTGCATACAAAACACATTCCCCAGGCAGCAATTCTTTATTCTTAATGATTAAAGTCTGTAAGTGCCTAAAGCAATGCCTTTTGGTAATTAGCGACTTTCAACTCTAAAACTGGCCTCTATTGTCTGAATGCAATGGTGGAGTGGAAGAGGGGTAGAAGAAAATTATTTGTTTTGGTTAAGACCTATCCTGAGTAGGATCTTCTGAAGTATAACTAGCCTAATAGACATGAATAGGAAGTAGAGATTCTGAACTGTATTAGGGGCTGAGGGTTCTAGCCATATTTGATGTTTTTTGTTTAACTTATCCAGTCCACAAAGTTTGTAGCAAGTAACCATGAAATTGACAGCAGAAAGTGTATAGTATTAGGAATCTGAGGACATGGTTCCAAAAATTTTTACTTGTTTACTCTGTGTGTCCTTGGTGTCAGGATATCCTAAGAACTTCATTGTTTTTGTAAGATTGTGTGTGTGTGTGTGTGTGTGTGTGTGTGTGTTTGTGTGTACATATGTATGTATGTACACAGAATTTGGTCTTCTATCTCACAGGCATATTGTGGAATATGTCAAAGTACATCAGAATATACTGTGAACTTTAAAGCTATATAGCAATGTAAGATGTTATTATATTTTTAACAAAAGATTTTCAAAATCAATGTAGAATCTTCCTTCAGAATAACCTTATGAATAAGAATACAGTATGTTCTACTTTGCATCATTTTCAGTCCCTACAGTAAACCTTTTGGCCTGAATTCAAAGGAGTGGTTCCTATTTTACATTGGCATAGTTACTATTCCCTTTTAGAGGTAAGTGGGATTCCAGCATCCTGACCATTCTCAGAGACAAGAGGCAGGAGAAGGCAGTGAAAATTTATCCCCCGAGTGGCACAATTTGGAGAAAACTGTTGAGCCCTTAACATTTGTTTTTTCACTCATAAAATAATACTTCAGTAGAAAGCCAGACTAGAAACAAAGGCTAGTCAATTTTAATGCTGAAAATGAAGGCAGATAGAAGGCAGATGTTTTTTCATTTGAAATGTAATCATTAGAGATGGCCATTAATTTTTCCTCCTAAAATAACCTCCAGTAGTAGAGCAGGGTACCCTACATGGCCCGTTAGCAAAGGGTTCTGAGAGAGTAAGTATAGGGAAGTGCTTGACAATGTAAGAAATGAAACAATTCCAAAATCACTTTTACAATTATCAACAAATAATAGAAGTGTGTGTGTTCATGTGCACATGCTAAGATGGAATATTATATACATTGATCATATTTCTAACTATACTAAGATCTCATATAAGGCTTACAATATGCCTTTTTGAAAATTCAGATAGTTTTCATCCTCTAAGAGCCAAAGCAACAAATCAAGCTTAAGGAACTAGAGTTGCTAACCTCCAGGAAGCCAGGTAGAGCCTACTGATGAATGGAGATGATGAGGGTGCAGAGCGATGAGTAGAGAGAGTGCTGGTTTCCTATGGGTAATTCACAACAGTCAGCTTCTTATTCTCCTTAAACTTGTTCTTTATGCAGGTGGAAACAAGAACAGCAGAGTGAAGGCCACCCGTGAGAACTTGGTACAATTTCATTACATGGGGATTTCCAACTAATCTTTATCCCCCCTAGCTTTATTGAGGTATAACTGATAAACAAGAATTGTATCTAGTTAAGGTATACAATTTAATGTTTAAAAATAGATATATAATAAAATAATCACTACACTCAAACTAGCGCATCCATCACTTTTCATAGTTACCTTTATCCAACCCTTATATTGTTGCTGATATCAACCAAGTCTTCATATATCATAATTAGGAACAATAATGAGAGTAGGAATTATGAACACTGAGCCAACATGTTCCACAGGTCCACAGCTGTGTCTCCCAGAGTCAGATGGAGGATTCTCAGGGAAGCAGACTCTGACAGTGCAACACAGGAGGATTTTTCTAGCAAGTCTGCCTTAAGATCATGCTTTTGTTACTGAAATAGGAGTTTTATAGTCTTATTAGGATGAATTCCAGGGAGACGTCAAAGAAAAAAAAAAAAACAAAACAGAATTGTATTGCTTTCTTGCACTTCCAAGGTAGTCATAAATACTTTACAAATAAGTATAAAATAAAAGAGAGATTGTTACATTTTACTTCATTTTTAGTTAGCATATTACACATCTCTTAAAATATATGCAGGATCAAACAAGTATTTCTCTAAAATAAAAACAAAACAAGAGCACAAATAAGAGAATGAGTAGGTGCCCAACTCCACTTCCAGGATATTTTGAAAATCATTAGCCAATACTTTAGCACTTGCTAGGAGCAGATGTTATTTCCCAGATGCCCACTGCCTTCTCACCACTTTGCATAATCCTAACACATGACACATTAGTTTCGGATGAGCCAGATGCCAAATGAGAGATATTTTACAGTACAGAGAAATCAGAATGGTGGAGTAATACAGAAACTTTTAGCCAAGGCACATTCTCTGGACTCTCAATCCTTTGCAGCTGCCACACCTCTTGTTGGAATGCAGTTCACACAGAAAATAGTTCTGACATCTGCCTCCCTTGTGGTCCCAATAAGAATTCTCGACATTGATATATGTTGTTCCACTCAGGACTAGAGCATGAGAATCCTCACCAGGGACACTTGATTAATTCTGTAAAAGCATATATTTATCAATAGACTATATAATAACAACTTCCGAAAATAATAGTATAAGGAAATTTGCAATAAAAACGTATGTAGCCAGAAAAGATAGTGGTACAAGCTAGGACAAAAACTATCACATATGAAGGAGTGACTGATTGTACCTGGAAAGTGAATTGGGATGACTCTATTTTTTCTATGAGTATGAGGTAAACCCTGACTAAATGTCAGGTAAGGCTACTGTCACCATGATTTAGCAGACGGGAAAAAAAGAGTATCCGTTCTCAACAATAGGAATAAAGGGAAGATACGCAATAACTTAAAAAAGCCTGTTAAATCACTAAGATTAATATAATTATAACTTTTCACTAAAAGCTAAAACTGGATGGTAGGATACAGCAATTTGGGGAGGAGGAGAATCCTTTAGCTATGGTAGCCAGAAAGACCTCTGAATACATACTTAATAACAATTGAGCTAAGAACTCAATAAAATGTCCAAGAGAAAATACTTTGAGGAAGATGTTTAAGGCAAAGAGAAAAGCAAGTGCAAAAGCTCTATACGGAAGACCTTTGGCATCTTGGAGGAAAAGAAAAACATGCTAGATTTTATGGGACCTAATAAAATTAGGGAAGGCTTAACAAGCAGGTAAGGCATTGTAGGCCAATGTGAAAAGCTTGGATTTATTTTGAAATGATGAGAAAATTAATGTAATGCAGTGTACACTTAGACATAAGCTTCATGGCAGTTAAGATCTCTAAACTCTTTTCTCTCAAGAAGAATAAATAGGACTCTTCATAAGAGGTTGGTCAGGGTGATGGGAAAAATTGTAGGAAAGACGCAAACTTTCTTGGAAAGCCAGAAGGTTTTGCAAAAGCTTTGGGAAAGGGTGATGGCTGAAGGCAGCCTAATCAAAGAACAGTTAACAAGGGAATGTGAAGGAGTTTATCTAAATAGCTTGTTTACTCATGGTATCCTAAAACTGACCTTTAATCATTTGGATTTGGGTGTAGGACTGTTCTCTACTTGGGGGGGTTGACAATGTTTATTACCCACAAATTATGTTTGCTCCAAGCCTGTGTCATTAAATCTGCACTAAATAAATCTGGGTGTCTCCAGCTTAGTGGGGCTGCAGCTGCACTCTCATCAGTGGTGCTAAGCCATGAGTTCCCTAGCCACACTAACAAGGCAAGCAAGTGTCTGCATAATTTTCTCATTCATCGCTCGGCCAGAGTCTGTGGGACAGACTCAGCAGTTCTTGTTATAAGAAGACACATCTGAAAAAAATTCCAATTTTCTTCTTTCCATTAATTTGCATTCCTGTTTGCTGCCTTTTATTTCTTTTTCCTTCCCCCTGAACAAATCCTTCATATATCCTAGTTCTAAGAATGACAGAAAGGGAGAGAGACGTAGACAGAGAGAGAGAGAACAAGAACCAGCTACAGAA